TTTGTCCCCGGGACAAGGGAAGCGGCAATTTGTGCAGGAACCGGCTGATGGCACAGTCCTATATTGGTGCAAGTCTCTATTTTATGCCAGAGCTCTGTGTTCCTCATATAACAAGTGTTACAAAGTTTTTATTTCGTATTGGTTCGTATGTGCAGTACATTTAATAACAGATCATAAACTCTTCCCTTACCTTTTTTTTGTGACATGCAAGAGAACTTCAGTTCTCTTCGGATTATTGGTGTCTGTGTTAATAAACTGAAAAAGTAATAAAAAAATATAAACTATTAAACACACGCTCTTTAGCTATGCACGAGAATGTTTTGTTGTTTTAAGGTGAACTATTTTCTCTAAATATTAATACTTTGAGGATGGTTTATAATAACAGCTTTATATTTGGTCTATGAACACATAAAGAGATGGGATTTCTCCATAGTCAATGAACAGTGGTCAAAAAAAAATTTTATATTTTAAATGGATTTTTTTTTCTCACAACATACACTGTTGAACAATTTGAAATTTAAGATGGGAAGGCTGTCCAATATTCGAATGCATTCTTGGTCTTTGAAAAAGTAAGAATGCACTTTGAGAAAACCCATAATCACTTAGGTGTGCAAACATCGTTAAAAGTCAATAGAATATCTGCTGTGAGATCTTCTGACTATCCTGTTCTCTTACCTATAAAATTCTTTTGCTTTTTCCTCTGAATAGGGTACATCATTTACTACAGTACGGATGTGAACGCTGAAATACACGACTGGGTTATTGAACCCGTCGTGGGAAACAGGCTGACCCATCAGATACAGGAATTGACCCTCGATACGCCGTATTATTTCAAAATCCAGGCTCGCAACTCGAAGGGCATGGGGCCTATGTCTGAGGCAGTTCAGTTCAGGACCCCAAAAGGTAAATTAGCCATACATCTGTGTATCTTCCCTCTCCTTTTCTGAATGCAGCCTCTGCAGGGGTAAGAAACCAGTAGCGTGAGTTTTATATTTAAACTGGGAAAGACAGGAAGACGCTGGAGTTTGACTGGAATGAAATTTTCTATTTTCTACATGCAAGAGCAATCCACTAGAAAATTTCCTATATAATAATCTGTCTGTCAATACGTTTGCAAATGCTGCTCAGCTGTTTGATGAATTGTGGCGTTTTGAAATTCCTGGTGGGCACTTAGATCATCTAATTATTAATGCCGAGGGTCCGTGGCCTAAATGCGCTTTTTTAGAAAAGCAGTTTTTAGTTGCTTTAAGATTCTAGGTCTCGCGTGTCCCGTCTGCTCCGGCTGAACTGGCACAGAGCAGCAGGCTCTGGGGTTGGTGGCCAGCGACTACCGTCCGGTGACTTGGATGATGTGAAGGGAACTAGCGGGACACAACAGGCTCTTAAATCAAGAACTGCTTGGTGGTGGGTAAGCAGTGAAATAGCGCGAATGCATGAGAGCTAGGGGAAAAAAAAAGGTAATTTAAGGAGAGGAGAAAAATGAGAAGTTAGGAGGAGATTTTCTAACAGTCCTTTTTCCACGAGTATCGGTGGTTAGAAATGAGGCGCGAGCTAGTCTGCTTATGCTATGTGAAACTTTAAATTCTGTCTCTCACTCCTTCAAGCCTTGTGATCTTTCTCTTGTTTTTTTCCTTCCCTGTGCTTGTCCCGCTAGCTGAATCCTCAGATAAAATGCCTAATGATCAAGGTAAATGAATAGCCATGCTTTCTCTTTCATTCCATCCTTCACACGTTTTGTTTTTCCTGTCCATGTGCTGTTGCATTTCCTAAATGAAACAAATATCCGCTGCTCCTGACTGTCCGTGAGCGAGATCCTGGTGTGCTTTTGATAGTGGAAGAACTGGAAGTCCTCTTTGCGGTTTGGGCGTTAGGAATATCAAGTGATCTCCGTAGTCAGATGTCACGTGAAGGGACACGCGGGTTGTGCCGGAGCTGAATCAGTCTGTCAAAACAGATTTGGATGAAGTGATATTCCAGCCAGGCTCTGACCGTTGCTGTGAGATCTCAGTACACAGAGATGGAAGATCAAACAGTTACCTAATTAGCACAAGTGCTGTTTTGTGAGCTCTCCATCTATAATTATTTTCGTAATAAAGGAAAGTATGCCTGCTCTAGAAAGCTTTTCTGCAAGAGGAATTCTGCTTGTCAGCTCATTTAGACTCCAGACTCTCCGGAAGAGCACAGCGTTAGCTGCTAAAAGCCTTAAGGTTTTAAAATGCTAGCTTGAAAAATGGGAGCTTTGAGTTTAGAGCCTTGAATTATCAGCTGAATGTCCCTGGGCTATTTTTGCTTTTTTCCACATAACCTACAAGCCCAATAAAGAAGGGAGGAATTAGTCTAAAGGGATGAGTTTAAAAGGACATTGGCAAGCAGCTTAGACATACCATTAAAGAGATCCTAAAGGGGTTGACAGTGAGCTTCGGGTTTTGACTTGCTTTTCGACTTACGACTTGGAAGTAATTTATTAAATAGGCTTTTACCTTCTGTGTACCAAATCGTGCCCATACCAGACCGTTACGGAATAAATTCCTATCCAGGCTGGTATAACGGAGATGCTAGGTGAGATTCAGGCTTGTCTGCGGGGAAGCAGATGCTCGCCGTGTCGTCATCGCTAGTGCTCAATTGCAAGTGGAAGGGAATGGGGAAAGATTACAAGGTTTTATTTAAAAGTTGCTGTTTTCTCTTCTGCACTATTCTCACCTCAGCAGATAGCATCTTCTCATCCAGCATTAGCGTCTTAAAGTAACAGATTTTTCTAGTTACAATTTGATTAATATTTATAAAATCGGTTAATTTATAAACCATAAAACCTTGCCTAGAAGCCAAGAGAGTTTTGTTTCGGAATTCCTATAAGAACACTTGGAGATTATAAATCATGGCAGTAGGTTAAATGCAGAAAAGGAGAAGACGAGCTGGAGAGCAGCAGAGCCTGTGCCGTGACAAGATCACTAAATTGCGGAATTGTGTCCTTCGGGAAGTAGTAGATAAGTTATTAGAGACTGGAAGGAACAAAACTACAATGGGATCGACTCTGGTCTTAGAGGTTCTGTCTTTTTTTTCCTCCACTCCCCTACTTTAAGGCTTCTCCGCTACATGAAGCGCGCCATACAGTTCTTCCACGCATGTTGCTGTCAGGCTTCAAGGAGTTGCACTGGCCCGGCACAAAAGCAAAGGTTGAGGTATCTAATCCTGGTAAAACTATCCCAAAGGAACACCAAGTGAAAGCATTTTGTCTGGCTGCAGATACCTAATGGGTAACATGGAGATTGACAAGCTAGGAAAAAAAAATAAAAAATAACAATTGGGAGTAAATGTTATCTTCAACTGTTCCTTAACGTAGAAGGAGACGGAGAACGCAGGTAGTTACTCCCAAGGATGTCTACACCCTTTGGAAACACGACTGCTTGCCAGAGTACTGCTACCTCCGTCTCACTGCCGTCCAGCGGTTTTATCATCTAAATAGGATTTATATACTGTGTCACACACACGCGCTCCTACGGGGGGTATATAAATCTGCAGCTGGGCTCTGTGAGTACGTACGTTGTTCCGCGGAGCGCCGACCCGAGCGTGTGTTACACCCGGGCGTGATCCTTGTTGGTCTGCGCAGGTGACTTTGTGTATCTTGTTATCTCCTCCGTTGTTTTATGTCATCTGTTAACTTCAGTAGCAATTATTTTAATTTTCTTTCCCGGTGTTATTAAGGATATTGAATTACACTTGGCCAAGCACAGGTCTTTGCAGAACTCGTTAGAAATATCCCTCGATAGCAACGATTCTGCACTTGTAATTCTTATTCTTATCAGTTAATTAGTTGTTAATCTTGTTAATTTGTGCCACATTACTTTTTTTATTATGCTGTTTTTACTAAAGCATTGCACAGTACTCAGTAAAATGTTTTATGGAAGTCTAAATATAGTATGTCTGCACAGTTACTGTTACCAACCAAATTTATAACCGACATCTAGTTTGTTTGAAGATACCTGTTTTCAATAAAACAGAAAGATGGGTCTAAAGTATGCCAGCAGCTCCCATCTATCGCCTTTTCCTTGATCTTGCCTGTGTTAAGGCTCCAGCTGCTGCGCTAAAAATGCATAGGGTGTCTGTTTGTCCTTTTCAATAAAATATTGTCGGTTGTTTTTATTGCCCCCTTCTCCCGCAGCTCCTCTGGTACGGCAACATATCTTCACGTAGTGGGGGGGGGGTTCACATCTTTTCAGTGCAAGTTTTCTGGTCATACAGATGTAAATATATTCAGTGTAAGCTATTTAAAATGCCGTTAAATTATTTCATTGCCGCTGCAAAATTATTAGCCCAGGACTTGAAAAAGAGAGCGCGTTTTCCCTGAACGCAGTGCCCTCTCTAGACTGGCAGGTGCAGTATGTCTTTTTTCTTAGGGATTTGTCCTGCAATACGTCTTTTCCATTATTTTGTTCTACATCTAACTCCTCTCTGTATACACATAACATTCCTTATTACCCTTCTCGGGGCTTAATTCTTGCTGGGACCTTTTGCGATTTTTACCAGTTGTCTTTATTTCACAGTGATTAATTTCCAGCTTTGACTTTAGGGTCACCATTTCCATTTGTTGCACATCCTTCAACACTTGTTACGTCTGGATCAGAGTGGATTTTTAACTGGGAAAACCCTTCTCCCGATTGGGAAGCTGCCAAATTTGCGGACTTTTGGGGTTTCGGCTTTTTGTGTAGAACAGTGTAAAAATATGCAGAGTATTTTGGATTCCTATAACAACAGGAATTATCGTTCTTTGCGTCTTGCTGTACGTTTCCCCACCACCACAGGATTTTTATCATTCACGGTAATTTTGCATTAGTGCATTTTAATGAAAACGCAGAAGTGAAAGGACCTGGGGGGTTTGTACATCTTTATCGACGGGAAGCATTCTGCTAACTCAGGAGGTTAACATCAGCTTAACATCAGCGGTGAACTTTCCAGTCTTCCACACTTACTGTAATTAGGCAGTAGGAAAAGAAACCTGTCTAATTACTTTTTCAAGATGATTAACTGTCTGTACAAGTGTGGCAAAGCCATTTGCCTCGATATATACCTGTGTATTACTGCTGATAATTTTTATTTTATTTTCAAAAAGGAATACTAGTAGAGGCTCCTAAGCTTACTTAGGAAAAGAGTAACGCAGGAAACTCATTGTTAAATAGCTCTTTTGAAGAAGTGGTTCTCTTCTTGGAGAAACACAGTTGCTGTTCAAAGTCAGATCACGTTGTAGGGGAGAGAAAAGGAGAAAAAAAATTTCTCACAGTGCTTCAGAGAAGTTCCGAAAGCGCTACCTTAGAAACGCTGGTGTGTGTTTATGTGTATGTGTGTGTATATGTACATATATTAAATTTTGACATATATGACCTTTCAGCTTCCGGATCTGCAGGGAAAGGAAGCCGCCCAGTGGACATAGGACCGGATTACAAACCACCCCTCGGTGGTAAGTGGTCTTCTAAAGCTTTCCAATGTACACGCAGTGTCTTTTGGTGCTTACTGCAAATAATAAGCTGGTTACAACCCTGATTACATCTGTTCCAGGAGCTTTTTCTGATGATAGTTGTTCCCACTCAAGAAATTGTATCACGCTTCTGTTGTAGCGTCCTTGCCTGCCGTGTGGGGTATATGGAAAAATACCATTGCGCGCATTTACTCTTCAGTCTTGATAAGCAGATCTTGTTGCCAGTTTAGTTTTCAGTGGTGGCTGTAGCGCACAAGTGTAAAATTAATTCAGTAAAAACATATTAGGAAGGAAAAAAATAATTGTAACTCCTTCTCCTTATTAGCTGTGTGCATTGCGGAAGCCTGGCCCTAAGGTAACACTCGTTAGCGTTACAGAAAATGTGTTTCTTTCAGAGAGAAGTGACCAGTGTCGAATACTGATACCGATTCGTGTGATCGCTGGGTCCAAGGGGGATGCCTGTAGTGCTACAGCTTTAGCAATGTCCCAGCTTAATTCTCCTTAGACTCTAAACTATTGAATTTTTTTTATGATAACTGTTTGAGTAGGGTGAACATAAATTTTTATAGACCATTAGCTGGAAATGGGTCTGTAAAGCATCTTACAGATTTACTAATTGTACAGCAACACGGTCAGCAAATGACGAAAAAACAAGCAAGCACGCCACTTGAAATCCTAACAGAGAAACCAGCGTTGCCGTTCTGCTAATCTGTATGATTCTCAAAGTCTTTGAGGGGCACCGCTGGCTTTTGATGGGCGTTTCTTCCGTATAATAAATAACCCCCTTCTCCCATCTCAAACTCTTACAGGCAGCAACAGTCCCCACGGAAGTCCCACTTCTCCCTTGGATAGCAACATGCTCCTTGTAATCATAGTGTCTGTTGGAGTGATCACCATCGTGATAGTGGTGATAGTCGCCGTCTTCTGCACTCGCCGTACTACGTCTCACCAAAAAAAGTAAGACGTCTGGCTGGCACTTTGCTCTGTCCTACCTTTCTCACGTCATTATTTAATCTTTTCTTTATGACGCTTTAGAGTTTATTGCTTTGAAGTCTTGTGGGCTGTAGAAACTCTGTCCCGACAACAGACTAGTAATGCAGTTTGAATTTGTGTGTTTGGAAGGTAACGCGCATCAATACAGCTGAGTTATCACGCGTGTGATGATGTTCTGCCTTTCCTAATCAGTGTTTCGGAGTTTACAAACCATCGAGAGTTTACAGGCAAACTGGGGCAGTGCTTTCATGTATACCTGCGCTTGCCCCTCTCTGAGGAGAAATTATTCTTTAAAATATCGTTTCCAGACTCGAGCTGATCCATCTGTTTAGAGCTCTGTGAGCTCAACAGGCTCAGGCAGATTCTCACATCTGTTCTTAGCATGTATTTCTCTGTGTGGAGGAGGTTTACAGGCTGTGCGTGACAATATCTGGGTTTTAGATAGGTTACTGGAGTGGAATCTGAACCTGGTACTGGACTCCTTAGAAAAGTGCTCCAAAATCCTAAATATAGGTGTGAATCTGAACTCCTCCCTCACGCAGAGCGTCTGAATTAAGACTACAGCGGCGATGCTTCTGTTTATAGGAAGGTTGTCTCTGCGTGGTCTGTGAAAGAACTGAACAGAGCTGAAAGCTTTTTTTTTTTAAGTTTGAAAAGACTCTGTTATGCAAAACAGAGGTTTAAGAAAGCGATTAAAAGCCAGGTTAGAAGATAATCTCCACGTGCTTTGGTGAAGCTGAACCATCCTGCAACGATACAAGAGGAGAGCGAGGATATAGGAGTGACGGTCTAGCAACTCAGGGATGTGCTTGGGAGAGAGCAAAATTCCTGGGTCTGGGCCCGGGAGACGTATTTTGCTCTCAAAGAGCAGAAATAACTCTGGGAAATGCTGCCTTTGTTTCCCCAGCCTCTAAACGCCACCTCTCTTACAAGAAGCACCCCACAACCAGCAACTAACATCCCGATCTGCCTTACTCATTCAGCTACAGTGCTCAAAGCAGCACGTCTGCCTGCGTATCGCCTACACGAGAGGCGATATTCCGTTTGTTGATATTTTCAACATTTTATTTAATCACATCTTAGCCATTTCTAGCAAGCGTGCAACCCAGAAGGGACACCTTCCTCCGTCCTTGCCAAGGTCCAAAGTGAGGAAGTGTGTGCGGAGGGCAGTGCTGGAACTCTGCATTTTATTTTTCCATCGCGTCAAACTGCCGCTATTCAACGGCGATGAAAAAGCACGTTAGTTAGATGTGTCTGACCTGAGCAGAGGTAAAATGAACGTTCCTGTCGTTAACCATCCTATTGGGATAATTGGCTATTTGCACACTCCTCCTACAGCTATTTTTTGAGGTTGTTTGTAAGCCCTGGAGTACAGGCACAGCGTGTTGTACGTACGCTTCATGTTTAGAATATTCTCTTAATAACCGTAAGTACGGGAAACTTAATTTTTGTTAATGAAAGCTTAGACTGTAGAGCACGGTTCTGCAGCATGTGGTAGACAAATTTCATGGCATCAGAGTTGCAGAATATGCTTTGGAGATGTCAGATGTGCTTATATGTAAAATTCAAAGCTTCCTGCCCAGTGGGTAGCTTTTGCTCAGCTGGATGCAAGATCTGAAGGGAATCTCAGTGAAAATTTACCTTTTTCAACAAGTGAAAGGAAACCTACATCTAAGAACGTTTCCTTTGTTTTCCTTCCCAAGGAAACGAGCTGCCTGCAAATCAGTGAACGGGTCCCATAAGTACAAAGGAAACTCCAAAGATGTCAAGCCTCCTGACCTTTGGATCCATCATGAAAGGCTGGAGCTAAAACCCATCGATAAATCTCCAGATCCCAATCCAATCATGACAGATACCCCAATTCCTCGCAACTCCCAGGATATCACCCCAGTTGATAATTCCATGGACAGCAATATCCATCAAAGGCGGAATTCCTACAGAGGTGAGCTATCAACGAGTACTTTGACCGTGATGTTTAAAGTTAAATACATATTGCTGTATCTGGTGAAATCATTTTATTCAGTTACCCTTTTTTTGTGTGTGTTCTTATTTTCCAAGTAGTGACTTGGGTTTGTACCTAGTTTGTAAGACTCTCTGAAAAGGATAGATTGCATGTTTTAGTGAGAAAATTGAGCACTCAAGAGTTAAGTCATGAATTTCCCATGGTAAATACTGATTAGTAATCACAAGAGCATCTAGGAAGTGTTTCATATTAAACTATTGAGAGATGCGGGTGGCATTTTTTCAGCGGTCAAACGCGCACTATCAGGTTTTGGTGCTTTAACCAACCAGCTACTGCTCAGCTCTTGAGGCGTGGGTGAGTTTTCACTCGGTGAGTGGTTAACTTTGTTCATGCAGCGTGTCTCATCCATACGTGTGACTCGGTACTGCCCAGAGCCGCACTGCCGGAGTTCCTCCAGTGCCCGATAATCTTTACCCTAACCCTTCTAGTGAAGGATGAAAGAACTGGTTTTATCAATTATGAGTCACAGAACTGCTTACAAACAGGACAGCCCAGAACTAAAGAGAGGAGGAGTGAAATCACCTGCTGTGGCATCACAGAAGTCTCGCTGCAATGGTAAATAACCTTCAGTATTTTTCCTTCAGGGCATGAGTCAGAGGATAGCATGTCCACACTGGCAGGAAGAAGGGGGATGAGGCCCAAGATGATGATGCCTTTTGATTCTCAGCCACCTCAGCGTAAGTCAACAGCCCACCTACCAGCTGGTTTGAAATGGGGAGCACCCAAACAAGCCAGGCGCACACACACGTACTGCCTTCCTGCTTACTCCTCCGAAGTAACTCTGTCATATCTGCAGTGGAACCAGTTCAAGGAAGGCATCCTGAACTCCTTATCTGAAGGCAGGGTTAGATCAAGTTAAAAGGAAAAACGGCAGAGCTGTATTTGAGCGAGCAGGAGGCGTGCTGGAAAAGCGGGAAGAAGAGTTAGGAGTGTCCAACAGTCTCTGTCCTGGCCTCTGGCAGTGGCAAGTACTTTTTCGGGAGAGCCTGTGGGCCTGGCTGCTTTTTATAGTTCATTCCCTTTCTACTCTTTGAGTATCCAGCTGTTACACAGGCATTGCAGAGGGCTGGTAAACATCTGTCGGGTTCTTCTCCACCATTACTTGTCATCTCCCCAGACCAAAGAGTCATAACCTTTTTAGCTTCCCCTCATGATTTTAAGAATTAAACAATATATCTAGTTTTCAAATGATGACTCTGAGATGGAAAGGGACTTGGCTAAACCTCCAAACAACCAGACTGAAACCCTGGCTTGAGAACACAAGTAAAAAGCACAGAAGTTCCCCTGCAGTGACAGAACTATGGGGCTAAATTACACAGTGCTCATTCAGGTAACTGCTACCACGATGTCTTGTGGTTTCTGGAATGATTTCAGGCCAGTCCATTATGTTTCAACTTTCTAACTTTTTGCTTTATTTACCTGAAGTGAGCGCTTGGTTGTGTTGGCCTCTACCTGCTTTTTCAAGTGTCCCGATGACCCAATTAGTTTAGTTTGTGAATTTTCGACTGTTTGCTTGGTTTACAACCTTTTTACAAGAGTAGTATCTTTTTTTCTTGGTTTTAAAATAAATAGTTTCTTGGGTTTAAAATAAATAGTCTAATACTCCTTGTTTTCTCCCAGTTTTACATGTATGAGGGAGGAGCAGAGGATACAGGTTTTACACTAATCGTCTTTACTCCAATTAGTTTCTTAAAAGTTTGTTTGCTGTCAGATACGGGCAGCTCTTGGATTCTGGTATTGCCTGTCCCATGCCAGGTGCTAGAACATGATGAATTCAGACTTGTGCGACCCCGTCACAAATTCAGACTGCAACCAGTCCTCCCTTGCACTCTGCTGTGTGTTTTTTCTCTAAATGAGATGCAGGGTAGCAAAGTACCCCTCATACTATGTTACTCAGTGAGAAAGATACTCAGCAACTCCTACGATCCCTCCCGCACAGGATGAAAAGACGTACAGTTGACACAAGTGATACAGTGCTGAGACATATTTTCGGGAGGTGGTAAATTCCAGTTCGACCTTTTGCTGATACTCAAGCTGATGCGATAATGCTGGCAGATAGAGCTGCGGAGATGATTTCCCCTTGCAGCACTAAACCCAGCTGTGAGATCCCTTTTTGATGCCAGTCCTGCTGTGTTTGCTTGAAAAGCCTCTCTGTTTTCCTCCTCTTTATTAGATGTTGCCTTGCCCAGAACGAACGAACCAGACGCAGCCACAGCTGGCTTGGTGTGACAGGTTAGCGTGATGCACTAAATGTCAGGAAGGATACTTAAGGTCTTTCGGTGCCTTAGGGCTTGAGATTGGTTTTGTGACTGACTTTGACTTTTTATCCTGTTTGCAAAAGCTCTGAGGGCTTCCAACTGTACGTTTCTATTTTATATAATAAGTGGAAACATTAATGTAATGTCTTTAGATACCTTTTTGCAGAAGCTACACAGAAAACTGACACCGGTACATGAGGCTCTTTCTCAGCAAGCAGCACCGAAGGCAGGACCGTTTAGTTAGTGTGTTCCAAGTCTGTGCCTGCAGATACCTTCCCGTGGCTTTTTTTCCTCCCCCCACTGTAGCATTCGAATCTAGTTATTTACCTCTTAAATACTAAATTAGGATAATTTAGTGTGTTCAATTTTAGTATCGTTTACAGTAAGGGTGTGTGCCTAGTTAGTTCCTTCTTTGACAACTGGAAAACAAAAACTCTGGAAGGATATTGGGAAGCAAAGGGTTATTTCTTTCTTAATACACCACATTTCTCTTGATCCAGTTCTTCATCTGAATTTTTCTCTTCCTTGAAATTAAACAGTGCACCATGATCTTCGTTAAGGGCCAGCGGTACAACGTACTGATTTTTGACCTGTAAAGCTATACGTGATTTAGGTCTGATAACCCAGCACATTATTCACAGTTTAAGCTGGATGGTTTGGTGGCAGGGTAGACTTTCTGGGGACATGGCTTTTCACCGGAGCAGGTTTTCCCCACTTGCTCACTGTATGCTGCTTTGGATAGTGTTTGTTTCAGAGCTACTACGATTTTGTGGTGTTCTCCCCAATTCCAAGCTTTTCGGAAATGTCTTGAAGGGAGTAGTGTGTGTGCATGATCTTTTATTGTGGTTGCAAAAACATACAGGCAGTCTTTTGTACTGACAGGCATTATATGAGAGGTGGGCCCGTGCGAACCACGGGAAGCTCACCGAGGCCAAGTGCAAGGTCCTGCACGTGGGTCAGGGTAATCCCAAGCACAACTACGGGCTGGGTGGACAATGGATTGAGGGCAGCCCTGAGGAGAAGGACTTGGGGGTGTTCCCCGTGAGGGTGCTGAGGCCCTGGCACAGGGTGCCCAGAGAAGCTGTGGCTGCCCCTGGCTCCCTGGCAGTGTTCAAGGCCAGGTTGGATGGGGCTTTGGGCAACCTGGGCTAGTGGAGGGTGTCCCTGCCCATGGCAGGGGGTGGGACTGGATGGTCCGCGAGGTCCCTTCCGACCCAAACCTGCCTGTGATTCAATGATACTTGATAACGATTGAAATGCTTCCTGAAACGCAGGTATAGACCAGTGGTTTCTACAAACAGAAGTGATTAAAATGTTTATGTCTGGAAATTGTTATGCCTTAAAGTCTATATGTCTCCTACCTTGCTGACACGCAAGAGAACTCCTGGCGTCTCCGATGACGGCCGTCTCTGCTGGATTTCTCATCTCCAAGCTTTTGTGGGTTATTCCTCCATTTGCCAGTTCCCTGCAAGACAAAGTGGCACCTTAATCTTGCTTGAAGCTCTGAGTGAGAATATCTGACTTTTCACATCCCCTTGACAGCTCTCACAGGACTTAAATCTAGAACCTACTGATTACTCGGTATTAGAGTTTAGTTACTCTTCATTTACAAGAGGTTGATAATGACGTTAGCTTTCTTTTGACGTAACTCAGTGGGAGAGTGAAATTGTTTATTACTAAGAGCTGAAAATCTCTAAGTATATTGCCTCCACTGGTCAACTCACATATCCTGTCCTGCTGACGGGCTGTCTCCCAGGAAATGAGGAAGTCGGAGGGTTCAGATTTATTTAGTCGGCCTCTGAGTTCAAGCAGTGTGCATCAGTGCAAGAAGTCTTAACTGAAGTCACTGTTATAATGATGGATTGCTGCATCATGTCATTCCTAACCAACCACAACCTTTTTTTTCTTTCTTTATGGTGCTAGTGGTAGCATTTCCCTCCTGTTTTTTGCGTTGAGACTCTTTCTTTTGGATGATTTTAAGCAATTCAGTATTTTAGTCTAAGAACTAAATTCTGCACACGCTTTTCCTCCCAGCTGGGGGAGCAGCGAGAGTTTGTTTTGCTGTTAGGATAAAAGGGTGAGGGTAAAGGATGATTTACATTAAGTAATGTGTCTCAAACGAGAAAAAGAAAACAGCAAGATTAAAAAAGAGCGGGGGGAAAAAAGAAAAAGAGGGTGTAGGGTTGAGTGTAGTGGAGCAGAGCTTTACTAAGTCTGCACAGAGGGAATGAATGGAGCCTTTGGTGTCTTGCCCTACTCTTATCGATTGTCTTGCATTAATGAACCGAAGATGCCATGTTATGTTTGGTTATAATAAATTCAACGACAGGCAGAAATTATTTTGGAATTTGAGCTCATACGTCTCCTGGATTAGGTCTGACATTTGTAGCACAGCGTGAATACGTGGGAGTTCTAAAGGGAGCTGAACTTTGTTTTTCTCAAGTGTAGCAGAAAAAGCGCTTGAAAGATACAGCCGAGAGAGATGCGCTTCCTGCACAGGAAAACGGCGAGCTCTGCCTCTTTTGGGGGTTTGTGCCTTGGCATGGAGGGAGCTAAAGTGCTGGAGCAGAGTCGTTGGATAATTGGTATCGAAACATGTCATCTCGGTGTCAGTGTAAATCTGCTGAGCTCCCCGTTCAGTGGCTTTGGGGGAGAAGGGAGGGATAAAATGCATTTCAGTACATGTGCATGCTTGTCTGTATGTTAAGCATTTTTCTGTCTTATATTCATTCACAGCTGTGATTAGTGCTCATCCCATCCATTCACTCGATAACCCTCACCATCATTTCCACTCCGGCAGCCTCGCTTCTCCAACTCGCAGCTATCTCCATCACCAGGTCAACCCGTGGCCGATTGGCACATCCATGTCCCATTCAGACAGGGCCAATTCCACAGGTGAGATATAAACCATCAGGTGGATTTTGCTTATAACGGAACAATAAGTGAAATGTGCGGAAATCAAAGCCTGAAACTTCACTTGGTCGGGCTCCATTGCGGTGTTCCATGAGAGGCAGAGCGATGGATTTAAGTACAGACGATATCCTGAGTTTTCTGTAAACAGGTTCTCGTGTAAATGAGATATTGGTGCTTCAGGTAGGTGATGATGTCCTTGGAAAAGGAGGCTTAATGTTTTATATACAACTTCAAATAGGAAGATTCCTTATTCTAAAGCCTGGAGTCCGAAACATCAGATTAAATCTAAATTGAGCTACTTAATACGATGACTTTTTTCCTAATTAGTTGTGCTTCAAACAGGGGGGAGGACAAAAGTCCAGACTTTGCTACTGAGAGCTGACATTAGTGAATCTTCCTGACGCACACAGAAAATTGTGATGGTTTCTATGCAGCATTTTCAGGCTTGAAGCACAGTAATTTGCAATAGTTTCTGTAATGCCTCCAGCGTGCCGAAAAATTCTGAAGCAACAGGATTGCTAAATTGCACATAGGTAACGTCTTGAGACGAAGTGAATTCCGAGCTTCTCTAGTTTAAGGTCTACGTTTTAATTAGGGTGTCACAGCCAGCAGCGTTGCTTCCTTACGAAAGCGATTTGCGAGGCTGCAGGTCTACAGAGAGACGCTATGTTGGAGGCAGAGGTTTCCCTCGCTCTGTTGGCATACCGCTGAGGTGACAGCTCTCCCGATCCAGATCTTTTCCCGCACGTGGTCCAAGTAGGATCACGATGCCCCAAATTCAATATACCAGCTCATCGTTCTCTGAGATCAGGGTGGAGCCTGTGATTTCAGTTTAGCTTTCAGCGCGTGAAGTCTAGCTCAGAAAAATTTTGGCTCTTCTATATGCACTACAGTGATACGTGCTTAATGCATACCTACTGAAGAATGCCAATACTGTGAAATGGTGATTTTTCACTCAAGGGTGAAAATGAGAATGAAGATTTGTGTTCCATGTTGTTTATCTGAGTCTTATTATATATAGCTGTTTCAGTGTAAAACTGTTGATTTGGTGTTATGCCTGCGGAGTCATTCAGTTCTTCAGCTTATTTTGTTATTAGACAGCCGTTGCCATTCACCTTAGAACTGGACAGTTACACAGAATTGGTGTTATTTGCTACACAGATAGATAGTTAATCTGTGAATTCACGTCTTACCTTAGAACAGCGATCTTGGAAAAGGCGCTGCAAACCCTACTGTTATGTTTCCATCTGACCACAGGGAACATTTCTGTTAAAGAAAATAAACCACTTTTTTTTTTTTTTTTTTTTTTTTTTTTGTCTGCTGTAGAATCTGTTCGAAACACACCTAGCACGGACACCATGCCGGCTTCCTCGTCTCAGACGTGCGCTGACCACCAGGATCCCGAAAGCACCGCAGGGTCTTATCTGGCTAACGCACAAGAAGAGGATTCGGCTCAGAACCTCCCTACAGCACACGTCCGTCCTTCCCACCCGCTGAAGAGCTTTGCGGTGCCGGCGGTTCCACCAGCTGGTTCCACGTACGACCCTGCGTTGCCAAGCACACCGTTACTGACTCAGCAAGGTGAGCGGGGGAAAACTGGCAAGACACGCTTGCCGGAAAGAGAAAGGAGGAGATTTTTAGAAGAGAATGAGAGAAGCTCCTTGAGGGGGAGGTAGAAGTGGGCGGCAGAGGCTGGACTGAATTTTGTTGGTATAATTTTCAAGGCCCTTTTATGTTATGTACATAGATAAAGTAGACACAAATTCAAATTCAGCACTCCATAATTTGAATAATTTGTTTTTCTCTAATAAAATCCTTTTTATTCTCCTACTTTCAAGAGTTTTCCGAATAGGCAAAAGAACTAATTAACTGAGGCATAACCGTATAACAATTTCTTTTAAGCTCCTAACCATCCAGTTCACTCGGTGAAGACTGCGTCAATTGGGACTTTAGGAAGAACTCGACCTCCTATGCCAGTGGTAGTTCCCAGTGCCCCTGATGTGCAGGAGACCGCCAGGATGCTCGAGGACTCGGAAAGCGTAGGTACTCTTACACTGCCACTGGCTTTCTTTGGCAGTGCTTATCAAACCACGGTGAATCTCTCTTTATATGATACCTGTAAACTTTAGCGAGTGTGCGCTGAGCCTTTCAAAGGCAGAGGGTAGTGAAGCTTCTGACTTCCACCAAGCGCCATTGCCTGTTAACCCGTATAAAAAAAAATGTAGCGCAAATACCTGCGACAGGAGGCAGCAAATTCAGAGAATAAGCACTTCAATTGCAAGTATTAGTAACGCTTTCTAAATCTGAAAATTACTTGAGAGCATACCTTTAATTCCTAACTACACGACACTAAACCGATGTAGTGCTTCCACCTATTGCAGTCCACAAGGTCCACGGTCAAACCCAACATTTTGGCTGAGCTGAACGTGGAGTAAGGTTCTCGGAGGCTTCCTTTCTTGACTCGCGCTCAATGCTTCTGGTTTCTGCTAGCCTATCACAATTACAAGGGGAGGAGAGACAGATCTACAGCACTGGTCTTTTCATTCTTGACAGGACACGTAACGTTAGCATCCAAAGCGTCACTGCAGATGGAGAATTTAGCACTAATGCCAAAATGTTTAAAGCCGTCATCCCAAATGTGGTTTTAGATACTCAGATGGAAGCGTTCGGACTTCCTGCGAAAAATGCAACTGTTGGCTTCTTTGGAAATAGCTTTTAAGAAGTGAGGGTGGTTTTGGGTGTCGGCACTGGAAGAGCTGTTTTCCTTTCAGACTGGAAGCCCAAGGAGTTACTGTATTCGCTGGTGTATTACTGCTACACAAAATGCTTATTTTGACTTATTTTTTCTGTTTTTTTTCTTGTTTCCTTATTGTCCTTTCCTTTTGTCACATTGTTTTTGGCACCCTCTTGATTTTATTTCTGTATGCGCTGGTCTAGAAACTGTGCGTGCTTGGTTTAGTGCACTTTTGCCCTTCTGTCTAGTTGTCACTCCTACTTTATTTTTTCTCTTGGTTAGTACCAAAAATATACTCATTACTAAATATTTAAATATAGCCATTAATAAATTTCTTCATTTATAAATTAGTACAATATAAACTCACCCCAGCACACTAAATACTAGTTAAATTACGAGTTTTAAAAAACTAATTAGGATTAGATAGTGAAAACAATACAGTACTGGGCAAAACTTGGTCAGCTTAGACAAGGTTTTGAGATGAACTGGTTCATGGTATCTATCTACATGCATGAACTGCTATCATAATTCTGTTATCAGTGCAGTATAGATGAAGCTAGACAATGTAGCCTAACAATAGAGTATGATTTTTAGCACGTGTAATGATTCTCAAAACAGTTTTATTGAACTGATTCCTTCGACCTTTTTTTTTTTTTCCCAATTAAGCTGGGAAGATTTCTGAAATACCTACTTCGGTTCAAAGGCAGCTGTTATCTTGAAGCAGGAATTGATACAAGGACAACAGATAAGATGATCACAGTCTTAAAAATCAGCGAAACTAAGAATCACTCTTGCAAAAAAAGATCTGCACTTAAAATAGAGAGTTGTTTCAAGTTATTAATTCCTGTAACTGTTGATAAATCTGATCTGCTTATTCATGTGTCAGGGTCACAATCTACAGCAGAATCCCTGATAATTTCTTATTATTCTGTCTCCCTTTAAAGCAAACAAGTCACCTTATCAATAACTCTTTACTTCTCCTACAGAATTATGAACCGGATGAGCTGACCAAAGAGATGGCCCACCTGGAAGGACTTATGAAGGACCTTAATGCCATCACTACAGCATGACCACCTTCACCAGGACACGACTCCAAACAGTTTCACAAGTCTTGGGACTCAGCCTTGGAACACAAGGAATTGTACAGAGGGGGGAAAAAAAAAAAAAAGGAAAAAAAAAAGAAAAACAGAAAGAGGGACAACACATGAGAGCATACACAGAAAGCAAACGAACCAACAAGTGCGTTTGTGCTACAGCTGGTCACAAAGAGATGACCTTTCTTGTCATCGTCCTGCAATGAAGTCATTGCCAAGTTGAATTCCATTTACCTGCTGAGACCACGCAGGATGGGTCGCATCAGGCTGAAATCTAGCATCCAGACAAAAGGGAAAAAAAAAAAAAATGGACTTCATGTTGGATTTTTTTTCTGGTCAGGTTTTGTCTCAGTGGTGTGATTGCCCTGCCTTTTCAGTGTTGGACATTTGCATTTATGTACAATTTTATTTGTGTTTTTATTTTATCTTTTTTTATAAAAAGGAAAAAATATTGTAATCAAGGAAAAAAAAAAAGGAGAAACTTGTTTTCCACAGCCTAGACTGACGTTTGACTGCTTGTTCTATTGTGTATGAAAATTCATTGCCAGTGTGGGTTGTTATGTTTTGTTTTTTATTCTGCGTATAATTACGTCCCCTTCTGGCAGTTAATCCATGGCCTTTTGGGATGCTGCACTGCTATTTGTAAGCTTTTTTTATTATTTTTATATTATAATTATTAAAAGCCTGACTTTCTCCTCTCATCACTGTGAGATTACCAGTCTGTTTGAATTGAAATGTAATTTGAAAGGCTTGTTTGTCGCTTTTTGTGCAGTTTCAATATTTTGAGTGGGGAAAAGTAGATGGGGAAGGGGAGGGGATCCAGTGGGAGGTTTCATTATTGTTGTTTTCCTGTCTTTCTACATTGACTCGAAAGACTGAAGAAAATGAAAGCATCTTCTGTAACATCCTTCCTTGTAACTTCAGCATACTGTGTCTCTGGTTACTGAATTGCAGTGAGAGTCTCATTTAGAAACGTTAAAAAAAAATATAATAATTTCCTCCTGTAAAGTAGGGTTCCTTATGTTTAGATGACACTACAGCTTCTTTTGGCAACAGTGCTCTGTTTTGTTGTTGTTAGTTTAAAGATCGCATCATGAAACTTTAAAGCGCAGACTGAGCGCTTCATTCAGCGGGGAGAACTTAGCACAGGCGGCAGCGCGCAGGGCACGACGCTTCTCTGCTGGTGGTGCTCAGGTTTGAGCTACCTGGACCTCCCAGAAGCAGAGAACTGTGGACCTCTTCCCATCAGCAACATATAGCATGCTTTTGAGAACACTACATCTCCACGGGATCCTTCAGCAGCAAGTCCAACCCCAGTGCAATTTCGCTATCCCAGGCCGTTTAAACAAGAATCCTTCTCTTACGGATTCTTCAGAGACAGAAGCAAGGCAAAAATGTATTTTTTTACACTTTTGAAACCATTTGAAAAGAAAAACAGTATTAGCGACTCAGGTGCTGTTCACGTATCTGTCTAGAAAGGAAGGAAAGTGAAAAGGGAACTCCTATATGAGGGGAAGGAAAAGGGTTTTTTTTCTTTTCTCCTTGTATGATTGCGTGGCTCTGCCCTACTCTGTGAGGAGGAATGGCGTAAAAAGAGGGACTGTATTTTAGTTAAAAAAAAATAGAAAACCAACACTACCCAGCTGCCTAACCAACTCATGTGCAATTTCACTTTTAAGATGAAAGGAAACTCAAAACTTACTGATGATTCCGAGAATCTGTTCCTCCTGAGCAGTCGGCTTTGTGATCTGGGAGGCTCGGCGATAACGACGGAGGAGGCGCAGGTACCGTAGTCCGCGGTGCCAGCTCTGCTAGATGGCTGCGCCTGTCGGAACATTAACACCTTAAATTTTAATTTCAAACAAACCGAGAACGTCATTCATTTTCTTTTACCCGTGTGACTGAAGCTAAAGCTCTGGGCCAGTTTTCATAGTCCCTGTCAGTAGGAGAAGGGAGAGCCACCGAATCATCCTGGAGAGCAGCGAGGGTTTGGGTTGTAGTTTTACTTCCTTTCTTTTCCTGGACTCTTGTGTTGTCATTCCTAGGACGTTTGCTGGGTTTATTTATTATTTGAGGGAGGGAGGGAATCAAATGAATCGGAGCACCGTGGGCCACCTGGATAATTGATGTTTGGACTTTTAATCAATACAATTCAGGGCAAAATAAGCTACAGATTATGTATTTAAATACTAAAATACACACCCTGTCCTGAAAGGAGGGGGTGTATGTTTTCCTTTGCCTATTTTTTACCTATACCCAAAGAAATACCATCATACATACACAGTATTCTTAGCTGGTGGGTCTTTGTGAATATTCCTTATGTATAACACCATGAATGTTAATATTGTCATTGAATTTGGGGAAGGGGAATATTTTTAATAAAAACAACTGTTCAAAGTTGGTTTTTTTAAGGTTAAACTAAAAAAAAAAAGAAAAAACATTTATTCGATTCAGTGTACAATCTGTATTGCACTTTTTCACATTTTAATGCTACTTTTTCTTACATATCCTGTGATTTTAAATTTGGAACATTGTGTATCCTTGTAGTGTCATAGTCAAGCTGTTAAGTGACAGCTTCCCTCAGAGACATTTGGGGAAAAAAAAAAAACCAAACTTGTATATTGTTTTATGATTCTCATGTAGAATAATTTTGAGGACTGCTGTAGACGTCTACCTTTCTGTACAATTTTTTTGCTTTTCTGTAGTAATTGCTGTATACTCTATGGCTTTTTTTAATAACTTCATGTTTATTATTTTGTATTGGACATCCAATACACTTTTTTTAATCCAATCAAATTCTGGTCTGCTTGGAGAATTTGTTCTTTCTTTAATTATTCCTATACCTTTTTTTTTTAATTTTCCTTAATCAGTATGGTGCACAGGTTTGGAATTATTTTGTTGTGGTTTGGTAGGTTGTGTCCTCCAGAGAAGGAAGAGGACCTGTTATTCACCCCCCCATCTTTGTGCAGACACTGAGCAGGTAGTGTCTGGTTAACTCCCCTCCATGTCGAAGCCCAATAGCAAAAGTATCACCGTCTAACAAGCAAGCATCAGAAGGAAGGGTTTCAAATCAGGGAAATTATATTTAATAACCTTAGTAAATCATAATACTCTTAATTCTTTGAATATAGCACTTTCTGTCTGTAGATTTTAAAGTGCAGTAATATTGATATCCTTATTGTTCCCCCATGCTAACTCCAGACTCTCTTTCACTACTGAGACTCGCACTGATCATCCGCCTCTTCTCTGAAGGCAGCCACTTCCCCCAGTTACTGGTGTCCCATGTTCTCAGGAACCCCCAGACCACTCCTCATCCTGCCCTCTGCAACCAGGAGTACAAGCTACTGCATAGTTTTACACCCCCTCCTCCTTATTTTGCTAGTCAGATCTTCCGGTTTACTCATTCAATTGTGCAACCGCACCGAGTTTTTGGGTGGGAACGGGCCCCTGGAGGGATGCAGTCACCCTGCAGCTGGTCTGGGACTTTGCGCCATGCTGGACTTGGTGGGGTATGCACGCGTATAGGCATAAAGGAGAAGAGAACTAGGGAACAAAGGTATTAATCATTAAGTTGAGAGAATCACAAGGCACATGCAAGATGCAAACAAGCAGAGTGGATACAGGGAAAAAAAAACAAAAAACCACCAAACCCCCACCCAAAAAACAACAACCTTGCCCTGTACTTACTACCTTCTAGCTTTACAAATGAGTATTTCTCACTTAGTTACTTGCTCTGCAAGGCAGAAGAAGTGGCAGCTGCACAAGGGGTTTATCAGTCAAGCAGCCCGGTTGAGGACAGGTAGAAGTAACAATACCTGCTGGGAGTTGTGCGGGACGGGGACACTAGAGGGCAGCGATGACTTGCTGATAAACAAAGCTGCAAAGCAAACCCACAGCCTACACCGGTTTTTGCATCCAGCAGCTATTATTTCTCTTCAGCCTAGGTTAAGGAGACTAACATTAGTGATGGTGTCTTGTTAGTTCAGTAAAGAACCTGTGCAGCAAACTGTAGGGTGGGGGATTTTTTGTTTGGGGTGGGTTTGGTTTTTTTTGTTTGGTTTTTTTGGGGGTTTGGTTTGTGGTTTTTTTTCATGCCTAGCTGTTGGCTTTCCCTGATAGCAGATTGGCTTCCAACATAGAAGCAAGGGGCTGCCTCAAACACCTTCAATAAATTGGTGCAACACACCCAGGTTTTTTTCCCACTAAGACTACCACTGGTTTCAAGACAAATTGAGACTGGATTTAAACTAACACAGCAAATCAAATTATTTGTCCATCTCTAATAAAAGCATTCCAGTAGGGACACAACATGATTTAACTAAACTGCCTTTGCCAAAACTGTGAAACCATTGCTACTTTTCTGCAGGGAGAGGTCTCCCCCTAACCCAAGATGGGCTTCAGTCAGGTTAAACATTTCCCCTTACTACACATGGGTGTAAAACACATACAGCCTGTGTGACTCTTAAAAGCCAAATGTAGAGCTGTCCTGTGACTCTCTAGAACCTTCCATAAGCAGACACAGCAAAATTCCTGCCTCTTCAAAAGCTTGCCAGCTCTCCATTGTGATGGACACCCTGGAAAACATGGGGACGATATTGTTCTAGCAAGCAAACACGCAGAGCTGACGGGCAGGAGACAGGCCCGGTGGGTTTGGGAAAGGAAAGCCAACCCTTCGCAGGCACAATGTGGAAAAGTGGCAATGAGAACAGGAGGGTAAGAGTGAAAGGGTGCCAGGGAGACAAATTCAAATCCAATGAGGGGGAGCAAAGAAGGATTCAGCCTACTCTGAGTGCTGCTGGGGGGGGGCCGGGGGGAATGGGTCTCCACCAGCTGAGAGGCTCTCTGATCAGGACTCCCTACATGCACAGGTGCCTGGCTCATTTCCCCTCCCTGGGCAAGGCTGGTTGCACTAGGACAATAACCTATTCCTTCTCCTTTCATAAATGAGAATCAACATTTTCCAGTTACTTCCCAAT